CGCACTAAAGCGGGTCCAACATTAAAAGCAAAGTGTCAATGCAAGACCCAGTGCGCACAGGAACGCGGAAAAAATGATCAGCCATGCCTCATCACAGGTTTTGTGTTGGGGCTTCGGAATTTTGAGTTTAGGCTTTAAGGTTTAGGGGTTGTGGTTTTTCCGCTGCTTTGGATTCAGGGTTTAGGTTTCAGGGTTCGAGGGGCTACGGGGGTTGTGTCTGGGGTTCAATAACCTACTTCTTAACTCAGGCTCCCCCAATATCATAGCAAGCCCCCCCAAGCGTTTATCTGGCTTATACCTGCGGTTGCTCCACTTCCCTACCCGGCCCCTCCAACTTTCTTATGTTGAGCTGTTCCCTCCGCCTCAAGGACCTAATGAGCGATTTCAGAGGAGAAGACTGGAATGTGCTTGTTGTTTTCCAGCCGGTCTGAGCATTTCGCCAGGTGATGTACTTGCATTAAGAAGCTCAGAAGGTTTCGGGACCATGCGCAGGGAGCAGAATGTATAAGCAGAACGAACTCGAACGTAGCATAGAAAATTGGATTCACTTCTTCATGAGACTAGAATCTGCGTCGCTCCGGGAAGAGCGACCTTGAACGCGACAACACAACCAAGCTCCAAAAGTGACCATAGTGACGAGGCTGACGACCCGACACGGCCCATCCTCGTGACTGTTGACGCTATTGACACCCTAATGTCCAAAAAACGACGGTTACAGGCTTGCGAACCCAAAAGCAACGATGATAGGTCTGCTCCTGGAGCCCTGGACCCGAACCACCAAAACTTGGAACTGTCAAAAAGCATAACCCTGACCCAACACAAGGACACGTTTACAAGGCGGATGCTTGTTCCAAATTACATCATGCACAGAGCTCTACTACTGTTCTATTCATGAAATGTGTATCCGAGGATCACCTAAAGCGAACTGCCTTTTTGCGCGGGTGGATTTTGGCGTCTTCATTGAAAAGCTGCTTCTTAATCATAAGGGATTGCCAGGTAGAGCTTTCATGCTCAAATTCTAAGCATTAAGGTGTGGGTCGGTTCAGGAACTCATCGCCCTGCAAAAACTGCTCAGAAATTGTCGCTGGGACCCAAATATGGCCAGAAAGCTCCGGACACTTTTCCTATGGCTGCGACAGTTTATATCTGAGGTTCACACATGGGTCCCTAGTTTAAAGCGCTAGTGGTCCATATTTTGGGCCCATAGAAACCTTAGATGATAAGCCGGCCACAGCTCAAAGTAATGCAAGGCACCTTGCTTCCTAAATCTTACAAAAACCATCAGGCGTGGTGTAAGTGCATCAGAGTTGTGATAGATATGTCGAATGTACTGTAGTTCTGGTCGGCTTAGGCTGTGATATTGCACCACAGTGAATGTTCTAGAACCCTCCGCAACCTAGAATACCGTAACCCGTAATTCAGCAAGTAGAGGTATTTCATGATTAGTTCATGTCTTGCAGCACTGACAACAGTACCAATGACCTCCACCTCCGGTGCTATTCCAATGGAAACTGAACCCTAACCCCCCCGCGTAGGTTACTCTGCTGTAGCGTGCCCATGATGCCTTATCAATTCCTCCAGGGGTGTCCCTGTAAACCTAAACCGTAAACACAAAAATGCCGCTAAAAAGCAAAAATCCCTGAACCTTTAAGCTGAAACTCTGAATCCTTAAGCCTGAACTCAAAACTCCAAGGTACATCGCACGAGGCGAGGGCGACAAAAACCTCGTTCATTGGGCTCATGGCTGACTCTCGTGGCCGGCAGATGCCCTTAAAAAGTGAGCCACTTCGGGTTTTAGGCGGCAAGGCGCTTAGGGATGCCAAAAAGGGGTACCTGGCTCCTGGTGTGGGGTTGAGCGCTTGGAAAATCCAAACCGTGCTTCGTGTTTAGGGGTGCGGCAAATGCGTGGGGGTTCGTCGATTCCAACGGAATCAGGGGGATTCTCAGAGCAAGAGTTACCTGGCCAAAGCCGGAAGACCTTGAGGTCTTAGCTACACCCCCAAACCATATCCAGGCCGGCGAAGGGGGATCATGTAGCCGAGGGTGTGAGGTGATGCATGGCCCAAAACCGCCGCATTCCACGAGCCCTACGCAGCTGCAGGGTCGGCAGATAGGTTCAAGCTTGCAGACGTGGTGTTGGGGGGGTCCCAAAATACAGTTGCTCAAGATACATGAGGTTTTTACAGGGATAAGGATTCTTAAGGGCTCGTCTGAGCAACTGCCATGCAGCCGCCTTTTGAACGAGGACCGAGGTCAATATAATGTAGCCACCCATAAATAGGCAGACCCCTGTTCTGTAAGAATCCCATCAAAAGAGCTATAAGTAAATGAAAACTCCTTTAGGGGGGGTTATATTAGGGCACTATATATGGGACGATTATAGGGGTAATTCAGGGAAATACTAGGCGTTTCTACCCTCAACCCTAATCCCAACACCCCATGGGTTATTAGGGGGGATACTAGGAGTTGAAACTATACACTCCGGGAAACTAACAAGGAAACTCAAAAAGGGCCCTATAAAGACGACAGTCCTTCTAGAGGGGAACTATATGCGTTTCCATGTTAGTTTGGGGAAGTATAGCTCAAATCAGCTAATCGTTGTTGTACAATCACGCGTTAGAGGGGACCGGCAGTGCGCAGGGCCCAAACTCCAGTTTCAAGTCAACTGAAACCCTAAAGCCTTTGGTTTAGGGTTTAGGGTTCAGGGTTTAGGGTACCCTAAACCTTACATGCAGAATTGAGGAATTTCGCAGATACCTCCGTGTAAGGGAACCCCATATGAGCTATAGTCTAAACTCCTAGTTTTCCCCCTAATAAACCCTATAGTAGCCCCCTATGTAATCCCCTATATAATCCCCTTTAAGGATAGTTCAAATGCCCTTTACAATGTTCCTAAACTTGAACCCACCTGGCAGATGGGCGGCGAAGACACAATCTAGGCGTAACTTCGTGCAATCCATGGCTGAATTGCACTGAAGACACACCCTCAACAAGAGGCTCAGCCCTAGATGTCACAGCACGGGGCCCAAAAACAAGCTCATATGGCTGGGCCTTCTTACGAAGTGGTGGAGTGAGAGGACTTGGTACCTAAACCCTCAACCTCAAACCCTAAACCCTTTAGGGTTGTTTTACCACTCCATGAGCTAAAAGCCCTGAAGCCGTAACGTTGAACTTCTTGCAAGGGCGCCTGATCCTTGGCACCGGATTCCATCTCCCAGTCAGACATGGCCTGCACCAGGGCTGAGGATCCCACTCTCAACCCTAAACCAGGGTTTAGGGTTTAGGGTTTAAGGGTTTAGGGATTTAGGGGGTTAGAGTTTTGGGTTTAGGGATTTAGGGGGTTAGGGTTTACCTAAACCCCAAGAGTATGTAAAATAATGGCCCTCAACCCATAATAATAGCCATTGAGGCAATTATGTTACCCACTTTTGGGGTCCGGGTAAGCCCTGAGGAATGAACCCTAAACCTCAAACCCTGAAACCTGGAGCCTCGACACTACCCTCCCTAATTCGTTGTAGTAACCCGTGACAGTTACATCATGTCTGCCTACACCTTTAGGAGCGCTGCGGTTCCCAAGGGGGCAACCTCAGGACGAAGAGGCGTAAGAGAGAAGGCACTCATGAACCAGTAGACCATCATAATCCCTTTGCACTGGTTGTATAACCCCTAACATTGAAGATATCCTGCACTATGTCCTGGCTAATGTGATTAGCCTGTGGGCGAGTGTGTAATACTGAGGAAATGCCACGATTTGTGGTTCGCAGTTCCGGGCACCTTATATGCATTAACCCCTACACCCTGAGTATTGCTGTTCACGTGCAACCGCCTCACACTCTAATCCTTAGACCCTAACTTCAACGTCCCCTTATAACCCCACGCAGTACTACAACAGAGCCTGAGCCTCAATCCCTAAAACACTCAAATCCGAAATGCCCGCATAACTAGATCCGAAACTCCCACCTATGACTACCCTACGCCCTAAACCTTCAACCCATCTCTTACAACCCGAGGAACAACCACCTTGATCTCAGAAGGAATCCAAGTTGAAAACTGCCCCAAACCACCCAAAACCGGTCCAGGTAAACCCTAAACCCTAAATCTTAAATCCAGGTTACGGCAAGCCTTCAAGTGTGGACCCTAAACCCTAAACGGCCATTAGCAAGCACACCGTGCCTCATCTCGCTCAATGCTCCGGATCCTTACCCCCATGACCTGGTCTTGGCTTCAAGCCGGTGAAGGGTTAGGGTTTAGGGCCTAAGGTTTAGGGCTAAGGTATACGTAGAGCAGCCTGCCCCCAATGTAGAACAATGATGCCAAAATCTTAGGTACAGAACACATTTCATTGCGTACCCTAGCTACTCTAGGTAGAGTTTAGGGCTTAGGCCCTAAAACCCCTAAACCCTAAAACCCCTAAACCCTAAAACCCCTACAACCCTGAAACCCCTAAACCCTACACTACACCCGCATTGCTACCTTCTCCCAAAAGGTAAGCCTACAGAGACCCTAAAAAGGCCTTGCTTTGGGGGTCCATTGCGAGAGGCGGAGTAAGGTGGGCTACAACTTGGGTCATTCCCCCTCCCAGTAACTGTCCTTAAATGGGGCCTTATTAAGGGGCTATTATAATTCCTATTACCCCTTGTGGTAACAGTTACTGTAAGGGGGAATGACCTAAGCTACAACAGTATAAACGCCCACAAGACTTAGGTTTTGGGACCTCGAATAACCTATCAAACTCAGAGGACCCCCTTGAGGAGTTGCATTGGGGCTATGTGGGGATGTGTAGGCAGTAGGGTTTAGGGCCAAGGGCCCCTTACCTGTGCAAATGTTGATGGTCCTTTATCCTGAATTATGGGTATGTTCCCTACCTGAACCCCAAAAATAGATAAAATGATGGTCCAACAAGCCCCGAAAACAGCCTAAAGGGCCATTATTCTACATGCTCGTGGGGTCTAAGTAAACCCTAATCCCTCACCAGGTAACTGCACTTAGGGGTGAGCTCGCTTGAGAACGTCAGAGTTTGCCCAGTTCCTATGGTAAGGATCCAAAAGGGCTAAGGGTTCAGGATTTAGGCTTCAAGGTTTAGGCTTTGGGGTTGAGGGTTTAGGGTTAAAGGCTTTAGGGTTTAGGGTAAGGATCCGTAAGGTTAGATTGCAAGGCAAGCTCCCTTGGTCACATTCACATAACTGGGTTGCTGTTAAGGAACTTGAAGTACGTTACCATGATATGGGTCTATACTAAGTAATAGGTTCCCGCTTGTGACAGTAACTTAATTTAAGTTCCTTAAATCCCTATATTCACCCAGCTTCCATTTCATTTTCGGTTTTTCTTTTCCATTTGATTCTCCATTATAGGGGGACAATATAGCCCTAAACCCTTAACTCTAAACCCTGAACCCTAAACCCTAAACCCTGAACCCTAAACCCTGAACCCTGAATCCCTTTCACCCGGGGTTTCGGGACAAGGCGGTCGTCAAAGTAGAGGGTCACATACGGATAATGGAAAAGAAAATGGAAACTACCATATTTAATAGGGTATATACTGGGGTTAGAGCCCCCCCTAAGTAGATAGAATATGGCTTTGGGTAAATTAAAATAAGATCCTCACAAACCCCATATTCTATCTACTTAAGGGGGACTTTAGGTTCGGGATGTCCGCACAAAGGAGTTCATAAGGATAAGTTCGAGAAGCGGTCATCCATTCGTCCATGTATTCTTTTTGACAGTCGCTAACAGACAGGGTAGCCCATAGAACAAGGGGACAGCCTACCTCAGGAGCAAAACACAATCACCAGACTCATCTTGAGAGCCCTTTATGAGGTATCCTTGCCATAGCTATACTGGAGTTTCGCAAATTTAGGGGTACTTTCTTGGGAATCCCTATAATCAGGACCATAGTATTTTGGGGTCTATATTGGGGTCCCCTGTACCATACAAGAATCTAGGACAATGATGTAGCTAACCGTTCAGGTTCTAGCAACCCTAAACCCTAAACCCTGAACCCTAAACCCTGAACCCTAAACCCTAAGCCCTGAACCCTAAACCCTAAGCCCTAAACCCTAAGCCCGAACTAAAAGCAGGCCCCAGCGGCTTGCTTCGCGACACCAAGTATGGCAAGTATGATGGCCCCAGACCTCATCAAGATGGGGTTGAGAGCTTAGGGTCTAGGATCAAGGGTTTAGGGTCTAAGCCCTAGACCTGGTCAAGATACGGTTTAGGGCTTAGGCTTTAGTGCTGCGGGATTAAAACTCAGGGCTTAGGGTTTCCGTTCCAAAGCCTGAAATCAGGCCAGTTTGGGACTGTATTCTATATACACCACAACTTGAGGGCGAGGTCAGGTCATGTTGTTAAAATTTGGTATCCTAGACCCTAAACCCCAACCCTACCGTTTTTGGGGGAAGCTTAGGGTTCCTTGTTGGGATTACTTCCAGGGTATACCTTCATTTTCTAAGGGATACCTTAATGTAATGAGCCTATGTCTCAGTTGTCCAGGCTGAGGGTTTAGAGTTTTTCGGTGTTTCTGAGAATTGCTTTCTTCATGTGCGTTTGTATAGGCTTTTGAGGCTTCGGCTGGGCCTTCGACTGCGAAAGCTCGGCATCTACATGCTTTCGGCATCTCAGTCACGTCGCGCCCTCCTGCTGCTGCTGCTGCTGCTGCTGCTGCTGCTTCTACGACTGCTGCTAATTGTATTCTAGTGGGTTTTCATGTGGCCTGGCAAGCTGTGCACAGGCGCACCCCGACCGCACAAGCTACAAACCGATGTGACGTGCTAACTACCTACAGATCTGCCTGATACGAGGGATTGGATCCCTCTGACTGTCGTAGTCCATGCAAGATTCCCATAAGCACCGCCGCAAGTCTTGCCCCCTTTTCTTTCAGCCCAACTTGCTGGACGATCACAAGCAGAATGGTAGTTTCCCTAAATTAGAACCGCCAGACACTATAATCCTTGATGTGGGGACCCCCCCCAGAAAAGAATAGAAAAGTACACCGAATCTTGGCAAACCCTAAACTCAAAATATCCCTGTACATTCGCTATAACCCGCTTTAAAGATACCCCCAAACCCTCAAGCCATAAACCCCTTTACAGGTACCTCGAATTTTAGTGAAGCCCCACATGGTAGTTTCCCCAAATACGGGGACCCCAATTTAGACCCCAATATACTATAATCCTTATTATGGGGACCCCAGAAAAAGGTACCCCCTAATTTTGGGAAACCCCCTAATCTGAACTGCTGTGTAAGCACGGGGCTTGGGGGTTGAGCTCTTGAGGTTGGAGGACGGTTGAGGCTTCAGGCTGTTCAAAGGTTTAGGATTTAGGGGTTGGGGTTTAGGACTTAGGGTTTGGGGTTTAGGGCGTTTAGGGTTTAGGATTTAGGGTTTGGGGTGCGGGGTTTAGGGCGTTTAGGGTTGGGAGCTGAAGATTTACGGTTTAGGGTGTGGGGTTTAGGGTTGAGGGTTGAGGGTTTAGGGTGGAAGCTGGCTTGAAGCCTAGCCCGAAAACTCAGAATGTCAACCTCACCCGTTCATCCCAGACCCTGACAAAACCCTGAAGCCTCGAAACCTAGAAACTAGACATTACCTTTTAGCAACGTGGTTTTCCAGAATATGGGGACCCTAATATGGACCCTAAAAGACTATAGTCATTTTTATCCTCTCCCTCACCTTCGTCCTCCTCCAACTCTTTCTCTTGAGCTGCGAAAACACTTTCCACCAGTGGAGCATCAAGAGAGGCAGCGGTGAGATGCTGGACGGCACGCGCGGCACTGCAGCTATGCCAAATGTACTCAGGCAGGTATCGCTTTAGAATCCAGCGACCGAAGCACGAGGTATTCTCGTGCAAAATGATGCCCTCGCCGCATGCCTTTGTCTCTGCCAGCCATATTGCCAAGCTGCGAGAGCTTGGCCCGAGAAGGCCAGCACGCAGTCCGATTGCTCACACATCTTGGCATGCACCCAAAAAAGACACTACTCAATATAACCCCAATATATACCCTATAATAATACAGTAGTTTCCATTTTCTTTTCCAGCTGCATTCTGACCACACGCCTCGTAGGTGTGTCCATCTCAGCCTCCAGGCGTGCATAGCCGAAAGGGGGCTTTTGGACGAACCTCGCAAATGTCCGAGAAGCCAGCACCCTGCTGATAATCAGTGTAGAAGCCTGAATCTTTTGCCAGATTCATGTGAGCCAGAGACTAAAACTCCTTCAAGGGGGTTATGTAGGGAATTATATAGGGGACTATTATAGGGGTATTACAAGGGGATACTAGGAGTTTAGACTATAGACCCTATAATCCCCTCTATACTACCAGTTTTCATTTCGTGTTCCATGTTCTTTTCCATCCGATTCCTTAACCCTAAACCCTAAACCCTAAACCCCTTTCTCCATTCTCCAGGGGGATACTATAGGAGTTTAGACTATGTTTCATGACGAGGCCTTGGGGCAACCTAAGGGCAGCTAGGATCACACCATGGTAATCATCTAAAGGCCCTAGGGTTTTAGGGTTTTAGGGTTCCAGGGGTTTAGGGTTTTAGGGTTTAGGGTTTTAAGGTTTTAGGGTTTAGGGCTTTAGGGTTTTAGGGTTTAGGGTTTTAGGGTTTAGGTTGCGGCCCTACATTCGTGGTGCGGTAAGGTTGTGAGGGCCCGGCAGTGCTAGAAACAGGGCCATTACTGGCGCCGTTCTGCGTCCAGCCTGCCGGAAGTGTGTCGAGATTAGGGTGAATGGTCCTTATTACGGGGGAAGGAAACCGAAGGCCCTTTTGCCTACTATGCACGAGGAACCCGGATACACCCAAAGTGTCCATTTCATTTTCCCATTTCTTTCCATTTGATTCTCCATTTTGGGGGGCTAATAGGCGATGTAGAATCTCCACCTGCTCGCACTCAGGAGAGATGTTGTGCGTAATGATGTCACGAAGCAGAAAACTGCACAAGATCAGCAGCCACATGATAGTCATACGCTCAAGATCGTGTCTCGGAAAGGGAGAGCTTGACATTGCCTATAATATCTCCCCATAATAACCGTATGATAACCCATGCATTTAGGAGCGCTGGAAGCTTCAGCTTGGGGGGGCATTTGAGAGCATACCTGCTCTAAGCCTCAGCCCTAAGCAATAATCCTAAACCTTAATCCCTAGACCCTAAACCCTCAACCATAATCATAATCCCTAAGCCCTAAACCCTAAACCGTAACTGTATTCCCTAAGCCCTACACCATAATCATAATCCCTAAGCACTAAGCCATAATTATAATCCTTTTGGGATCTAGGGTTTGAGGCTTTTGGGTTTTAGGGTTCAGGAGTTTTGGGGTTTAGTTGCCCCAACCACGGTAATGGGAACCCTATGACTAAACCCTAAACCCTACACCCTAAACCCTAAAGCCTAAACCGTGTGGCCGTAGCCAGTTATTTGAGCTGCGTCGAATCTCTTAGTATCACCCTCAATATCGCCTCTAGTAGTCGTCTATATAGGGTTTAGGGTTTAGGGTTGTATATATACATACATATACCCCCCCCTTTAAGGAGTGTAGACATTAAACCCTGAACCCTAAACCCTATATAATCCCTCAAATAACACCCCTTTAAGGAACTTAGACCTTCGACGATAAACCCGGTATAATCCCTCAGATAACCCTGCTTGGGGACTCAGCAGGCGGCCAGGTGAAATGGGGCTTGAGATACTGCTTGGCACAAATGTCTCAAGTTTGGGATTTAGGGTTAGGATTTAGGGTTTAGGGCTTAGGATTTAGGGTTTGGGGTGTACTGTAAGAGCCGGAGTAACTACCAACATAGTTTTGAAGTCTATCGGCGGTACCCTATACTGTAATTATGCACGGAACCTAGGATCATAAAATTGCTACTTATCTAAACCGCTTAATCGAAGCCACTATATAACCCTACACCCTAAACCCCTAAACCCTAAACCATGTCTAGAAAAATCAGCTTGACACCGTTTCCCTCCACAAGCTGTCGACCCCTCGCCCGGCAAAAAAGGAACATGGACTTACGCTAGTTGGCCGGCCTGAACGTCTCGGAAGACACTGAACCTAGGACATTCAGTGGGTGCTCAAGCAAAGCAGTCAGTGAGGGTTTGCAGTTTTGGGGCGTACGGTTCAGGGCTCAAGATTTACTCTTCTGGGTATTGGGGACTTCTGGGTATTGGGGACTGCTTTCCTCTGTCAAACGAAGCTCACGGCTTAGCGTGCAGGATTTGACTCTCTCATGTCAGTTCATTCACTGCTGCCAGATATTAGTGTGTGTATATATATATGTATATACGGATATGTGTGATTTCGGGAATCCTGCATAGGGAGAATAATGCACCCATTTCGTTATCCTCCCCAAGCAAAACATGCAGGCCCTTGCAGAATTCCGTATTCAGCAGAATAGAAACCCCGTTACAATCAATATTCCGGAAGCCTCACTAGCTGAGGATCAGGGCAACGGTAGCTTATGGGTTGTGGCGTGTATAGAATCTGAACTGTTGTGGGGGCCCGTGTGCCAAATACTCACGAGAGGTGTGATAGGGGACGAAATGAGGGTTTAAATGCCATAGTGGCTGGAATATTTACCAATATCACTTGACATCTGTTTGAGGTACCCGACAATACTGCGGTACTGGCAATTCTTCAGGCCTCTGTAGTGCATACCATTTGGGTGCTCCCATCTTGTGCAGGCACTAACATGATGCCTGGACCTATCAAGTAGCCCGCGGAATTGAAAGGCAAACCCTTTCCGATAAGCTGGCTAGACCGCATCACCATTTAAGTCCCTCCAAACAGGAAGCGTGTTCTAATGCTTGAACCGAGCAAGATGTGGTTATTCTGAGACGGCACGTGCTATTGCCCAACAGGGAGTATACAATCACACTCCATACTGAGGACCATAGTAGCCCCACCCCCTCCAAAAAATCGCTTCAAACAACTCCAGTTCTATGAATCTGAAGTCCCTTCGCAGAACCCGAAAAGTCAAATGTGGTTGTACGTGGAGTCCTAATTTGCGGCTTGCGCTCTCCGGAAAGAAAGCTACGACCATACAGACAGCAGGCCATGCAAGGCTTATATGCGATTCCTTCCCGAAGCCCTCAACCCAAAACCCAAAACCATGTACCCCAAGCCCTCAACCCTAAACCTTAAACCCTAAACCGTAAATCCTAAGCCCTAAACCCTAAACCGTAAATCCCAAACCCTAAACCCTGAACCTTAAAGCCTAATCCCTAACCATAAACTGCTCTTGCTGCCTGTGGTCGTCAACCTTAACCAGCAAACTTTAACCTCCCCTTCTCCACAAAATTAACATGCTGGAAGGTTAATAGGGCATGCGGGGATTAGCCCCTATAGAAGTCCCTCTATAACCCGCAAGAATCCCTGTATTCCAGCGCTTCCTTCCCTACTCTCTATATTTGAAATGCGAAACCCTGAACAACCCTTAGCACCAAACTTTCAACCGCAAACTTAAACTTGAAACGCTCCAACCCCGACATAGACCCCGTGATCCTGTTACTATTGGGACCTCAAAAAGAATACCCCTTTGTACAAACCCTAACCCCGGTATGATGAACTATTTTCCATGTTCTTTCCATCAGATTCTCCATTAAAATATGAGCGGATACTATCACTGTGGTTCACTGTGTATATATTTATATATTTGATTTAACACATCGATACGACGACCTCATAACCCAAAACGGGACAGTAACTTGTAAGGCATCCAAGCAACAGTCGGTTAGTTTCTGCCTTCATTTTGGGTATCGGCTTGTCAGCCTCCCCAACAAGTAGGGTTTAGGGTTTAGGATTTGGGGTTTAGGGTCCAGGATTCGGTGTTTAGGGTTTAGGGGTTGAGGATTTGAGGTTGCGGGTTTAGGGTTTAGGATTTGGGGTTTGGGGTTTGGGGTTTAGGGTTTGGGGTTTAGGGTTTGGGGTTTAGGGTTTAGGGTTTGGGGTTTAGGGTTTGGGGTGACTTAAGCTACAAGCTAAACATATTGAGCTGGTGTCTACAAGATCTACAGCAGCCCCTACCTACCACAATCTGAAATCCTATATGTCACCATGTAACGAGACAACCAGTCTTTGTACCTTGTAAAGCCCTACCCTAAACCCTAAACCCTTAAACCCTAAACCCAAGGCACAGATATTCAGACTCGGAGCTTTCCTTGATGACTTTGGCAGGGCTAGTACAAGGTACGTATACCCAGAATGTCAGGAAGCTGAAAAGATTGGATGAAGGGTGGTAGGCGACAGCAACTCCATTGTAGATTCCGTTCTACTAGGGCCTGACTCCCCTAAACCCTAAACCCTAAACCCAATACCTCATCTTCCCTTACCTCACCTTCTGAGCTATATGAGAATAGGAGCCCCTCTATATGGATGCTGGGTTCAGGGCCAAGGCTCCAAAACGACCATAGTAGGCACCACGTAGAGACTTTACAGCACAAACTAGGTCTAGGTCCGTCTAGGTATGATGTAAACAAGTGGAGCCCCAGTTTATGGGGTTTACAGCTGTGCTTTTTGAGTCGAAGTCTTTCTTATTGCGTTCTGCAGGCGCTGCAGTGAGACTTTTTTGGACCTGCGAGGTTGACAACGGAATGTGTGGAACAACTGAATAATGTAGAGGCCCGAACCCCTAAACTCTAAACTGCATCTTTCAGGAAAGTTTCTGAGAACCAAGCCAAGAGAACCAAGAAGTCTACATTAGGTGGACTCCCCACTCAGTAATCGTGACTGTAATGGATAGTGGTGATTGTATTAGGTCCTTGTGCATTCCTATTATACCACTACTAAATCCTAAGCCCTAAGCCCTGAACTCTACGATTACAAGGTGGCGAGTCAACCTAAAGTCTACAGCACATATGAGCATTTTTTATGAGGAGAACACGAAAACGAGGAACTTCCACCTGCAAAACCTGAACCCAGGCCACCATGGCAAGGAAATAATGTAGGGGCCTACATAGTTGGAATGGGGTTTGGGTGCTGTTTTTGTTTGAAACAGGCTTTAAGAGTGTAAGATCACCCACTACTAATGCTTCTACAGCCGGCCGGGCTTGCGCCCAAAGCCGCTACAAAAACGCTTCGCTTGGACCTTGGACAGGACATCTCTCCAAACTTGTTTTCATGTGCAAAACCCTGACACGAACCCCGAAACAAAAAACCACTCGAAAACTGAGTCCTTATTGGAATACTATTGCAGGTCATAACCCTACGTTCCTTATTGGAGTCTTGTAGAAAGAGACTTTTAGGGTATCTCCAAGAATGACCCACAAGCAATGCCTCCCCCCCTCTCTTCAAGAAGGGAGTTTACTATCGGGGTGTGTGCTATGATCAAGAGATATACTAGGGTCATAAATGGGCCATGGAAGTTATGCCAGTCAAATGAGCCTTCGGAAGTTGCCGTAGGCCATAGATACCACAATTGCGTTATAGAAATCCTGGCAAAACAGAACCTACCTAGACCCTCCAATGTAGTACCTTTTTGGTAGTCCTAATAAGAGTCCTAACCAAAAAAACCATGTCAAACCCAAAAAGGAACTACATTGGAGGGTCCAGGTAAACCAGAAATCCTACCCTAAACCCTAAACCCTAAACCCTAAACCCTAAACCCTACCTAAACCCTAAACCATAAGCCCTTGAGATCAATCTTGCTTCAGAAAGACGAACCAAAAAAAATGCTCTTTCCATCCTGAAGCTCGACCCCCACCCACAGCTTATGGTGTTGGGTCTAGCGTGTTAGGGTTTGGGGTTTTAGAGTTTAGGGTTTAGGGTTTTAGGGTGTTAGGGTTTGGGGTTTAGGATTTAGGGTTTCAGGGTTTGGGGTTTAGGGTTGCAGGCTGCTCCTCCAAGCAGGAGTGCCTGCACCATAAAAGTAACTCGGAAGTACGTAGGCATATAGG